ATGTATAAAATACTGTACTAATAATAGCTTTTTGATGACTACCTTGTTTTATAGAGGAAAACTTTTGTGGCTGTTTGTTGGCAGAAGTAGTTAAATTATACTTGAAATCCACCCAAATGCTAAGCTGAAAAACAATCGCCTCTAACAGCTTAAATAATCTACGGTATATTGTTTATCACTAATTTACTAGTTAACTTTAAAGTCAAACGTTTACATTTTTAACCCATTAAGAGCCTGTCCCAAATGATGAGCTCCTCACCTTATCTCTAAGGGAGAGCCCAGCCACCCTGTGGAGAAACCTTGTTTCAGCTGCTTGTATCCTGGATCTCATTGTTTCGGTCATGATGCAGATTTCATGACCATAGATGAGGTTGGGAATGAAGACCGGCGAGTAAATGGAGAGCATTATAGTAACAACTGAAGCTATTCATCCATCGAACATATAATTATCAAGTCGACAAGATAATTGAACTCCTAAACTTGAGGCCGAAACTCTCCTCCAACTCTTTCCACACATACATGGGCGAAATTTTGATTTTCAGAAGTGCGGTAAAGTATTTTTTAATATAACTCTCCTATACAAGTTCAGAGTGTTTTCTAGTAGATCTTCTGTGTTTTTTTCCTCAACTTTCTCAGCGCTGTCACCATCCAATCACAGATCTGACTGAGTGGCGTATCAGATGTTTGTAAAGCGAGCTTCTCAGGAGTGACAGCAGTGACAGCCAATCACAGAAGAAAAGACGGAGGGCCAGTCAGAAACTTGTGGGTGGTCTAAACTCAGCTTCATATTCAGATTGAGCTGCTGTAGTTTTCCGCAAGGTCCTAGTCCTCGATAGTGACATGTTCCCCGTGTCCTCCCCCCTGTGTCCGTGCACACATAGCATGGGCTCTGGTATCCACCTCGTAAACAGGTTAAATATAAAAAAACTAGTTATCTGTCTTTGCAGTGCATTATTAAATTGTTAAATTTTCTACAATTTGCAGTTCTTGTAATTAACCCAACCTTGAATTTGCTTTTTTCTGCCTTGTCAGTAAGCGTACAACCCCTACTAGTGTAAGCACAACTTCACTGCTCTGGTTAGATCCGCTTAGCCCTCCATTTATCAAGCCGTACTGCATCACACGTACACATGTAGGGCATATTTCGCAGAAGATCTGTTGTTAAAACCAGACATAACCAGAAACAATTAGATGATGATGTTGAGTCATATCTGATCTGGCAAAGACAGATGGTGACTTTTGTGAAGGATGTAGAAAAACACCCAGTCACACTGCGTCTCCTTTCATCTTAACAAAAGTAAGACAACACCCTTTGGAGCTCGGGATCCATTCATGGTCTGTCCCTTTTCAAGTTAAAATCAAATGTGACGATGACACAATGGAAGTAGTAAACAACTGTCAGCTCCTATCATTTCAAGGACGGTTCATTCACACAAACACAGGACTATTTTTGTCCATTCATCAAATCAGCACATCATAAAAAACTTTGTTCTGAGTCACTGTTGTCTTACTGCTTTTTAATTTATAGATTAACTGTAAAGTTTTGGGTTTGTCTAAGATATAAGCAGTCACAAAGAGTTTACAAGTCGTTGATATCTGGTGCTAAACATAAATACCTGTCCTATTAATACCACATCATGACCTTAATGAAACGCATACATGAGGATGAACAACTGAGACTGGATTAATGGGCCCAACCATATTTCAGAGGTTTTATATGCATATCCATAGAATAAATGTTATCTTGGCTATACATTTAAATAAACAGCAATTCCATTGGTATACAGTAGCAAATAGAATCTGTCATTACCTCCTCTTGGTGACTGACCTACCCCCACCCCCGGTCATAAAGTAAGGAAGTTAATTAATTGAAGCCCCCCAAATCTGTTTTTGCAGCATCAATACAGCTGCTATTGAGTGCAAAAAAAACTGAAAAAAGTGATTTTAGATGTTAATTCAGGTGAAAGTGAAACAAACTAGTTGAAAAAAAGAAAGGATGGCAACAGTGCTTAAGAAAACCTGGCTTCATTTGTAGCTGAAGATCCTCTGTTGGTACTTCTGTGTGTAAATTACAAGATTTTGTTACCCATTGGTCAAGTGGCATAACAGAAACCCAACATAACTCTGATGAAAACAGTGATTACTGCCAGTAAACTGTTGGATAACCCTGCAGGAACAAGCAAACATAAAAAAGTTGATAAAAGGAAACTCTACTTCTAACTGCTTCAAAGTTTTTAATCCTTGAATTTAAGCTCATGACTGCTCATGACAAATTCACTTTTTTCACCAAAACCAGAATTACTAAAAGGGATGTTAAACCAAAATTTATTAAAACCCCATTTTTAATAATCAACAAATGCATTTTATCCCCCACTAAGCATTTCCAAGGTAAATACTATTCGACATATTTTTATGCATGTGAAAAACATTCCTGAGAAAATAATGACTATAATGAATTATATGAGCACCAGATTATTGTTGCTTTGCTTGTTTACTGTGCATCACAAATTAGATGATTCCCTGAGATCTATGGCAAATCCTAAAATATTTTTTCACTACATTTTTAAGTATTATAAGTATTATTTATTTGTTTGACTTTGGTTTGCCAAAAGACTTTAATACTTCTCCAGTTACAATTTAGTAACTTCTTTTTGTATTGAGCAATTTAAAGGTGAAAACCAGTAAAACTGTAGCCTGATGTAGTCCTACTCAATTCTATAGAATATGAGTCTGATACTGCTCCATAGAGCTGTGATTATGGGGCGTGTTTCGAACGAACCAGGAAAAAAAAATGCCTCTGCACTCAATTGGATAGACCTACAACCAATAAGAGCAACGGAGTGCGTGACGTATGTTAAGCGGCATAGTTGTTGTCAACAAAAATCAAAGCGTGCAGTTGCATGCCTAGAATAAGAAGATGAGCGTGAACGATTTTTGCGGGTGTTGCAAAAAAATTTATTTGCTGTCGATATCTTCTAGAACAGACCTAATAGCAGAATCTACACACCTCAACTCTCCAGCGGCAGCCGTTGTTGTTGTCACCCAAGCGCGCTTTGGTGACGTGGTTGATTACGTTACTGTTGATCATCTGTCCATCATCGTATAAAGCCCGCCCTGACAATTTGATTGGATCGCCAGATATTGAGCGAGCATACTCGCGCTACTATTGAGCAATGCCAGACCGAACTTCCCGACTTCAAACGTTGTGGGCGGGACTAAGTTCGGAATGGCACCCAGGCTAGTAAAACTGGCCTTATAATAATAAATACTTAACCTAAAAAATGTTGTTTTTTTTATTTATTTATTGTCAACTAGTAAAAACTGGCTGAACTGATGGTCAGTTATTTTATTGTCTTTATTTTCTTATTAACCCCTTAAGTCCTGAGGGTTTTAGGAGCAAATTTCGCCTGAAATTCCATATGTAATGTAAAGCAGGTACAGCTCCAAAACTATAAATCGGAAATACTGGTAGTTTGTATTTGTATGATAGAATGGCATTGATGAATATTTTTTAGGTGGAACCACTATTTTAAATGGATGAAAAAATGTTTCTCTCCCTAATTTTTTTTCCAAAATAAACACTGCAAAACACCATGAAAACTCCTTTGAAATTCTGAAGCCTTGGAATTTATAGATCCATGTCTTGAATACAACTCAAGCAAATTTGGACTGAATAAATTGAAGCATGTTTCTTCCAGAAAGGTTTTAGTGGGCACAGTGGTGCCAAACGTGGCCAAATTGTGCCAAATGTATTTTCTCACTGTGGTGGATCCTTCTACCTCCACAACAAAATTTGTGTAATTTCATAATTCTGCAAATGCAGATCAGCTGGAGGTGGAAGCAGCCAGGAACAAACCACTTTCTCAAGAACTGAGAGGGGAATTTTGTTTAAGTTTACTTTAGTTATTTTGTCACCTTAAGTTCAATTATTATGCTAAGTTAAAGTTTTTTTTTTATTTGTTTTAGTTTTGTATGGACTTTTTATTTATTTATTGCTTCCCTGTTATATTGGGCTTCCCTAATGTGGCAAGTTTAGGTTATTCCAGCCCTATTAAAGCTGCTGTTCTTTATCAGTAGTTTGACCTCTGTTGGGTTGGGCCTAAATCTATGTTATTTATTATTTAAGCTATTTTGTATTGCTTTTGAGCCTTTGACTATTTTTGACACTATTAAATGATTTTTTTTTCCAATGTTTGAACACCTTTTATCCTTATTTAAGTTTGGTCCCTCACATTCACTCATAAAAGGGAATCTGGTCAGACAAATATGCTGATTTACGTTATTCAAGACCTTCTGGATAAGGCAAAGCCCATGCTTCTAAGACTTAGCCATTGTTTAATTGAAATTTACCATTAAACACACAATAATATCACCACACTGAATAGAAAATAAGATAAATTGTGTAATTCTTTTCACCAAACAGGGATATTTTATTAAAGACAAGAATTAGAAATCCAAAACTTTACAAAAATTTAAAAACCAATTAGAATCAGAAACTTCTGTAAAAAAAAAAAAAAAAAAAAAAAAAAAAAAAGCAAAAATAATTATGACACATATCCCTATCATCAGTCAAACGTGTAGCGGAACAAACCTGGTTTACAGATTTTTAAAACTATAAAACAAAAATTATTTGTAAAATAAGTTTGAAACATGTTTTGGAAATGTTAAAGCCACATTTTGAAAGGCATGTGGATGACACGCCACATGCATGTTTTTTGGTCATTTCTATAAATACATAACAAAAAAAGCAGGCATTATTACCGGGCCCACCGGGCTAAAAGGGTCTAACATCTATCTGCTGTAAATATTACCAACTTAACTTCTAGATACTAAAACAACCTTCTAAAGTCTTTATTTTCTTTGATGTGAGGAGTTTGTTCACCATATAAAAGGCCACAAGTCTCAGCTACAATCGGACAAAAGAAAACTCCACAGATGTATATGGTTGATATTAGCATGTTCTTTGCTTTCATTTGTGTTTTTTTCTTTGTCAACGAAAGGAATGCAAGCCGAAACAGTGGAGACAAACCATCGAGAGAAGAAAGGACACTCTATCCATCAAAGAAGTGAGGGAAGATGACATTGGGAATTACACCTGTGAAATACCATTTGGAAATTTTGTTGTGAGGAGGACTACTGAGTTATCAGTAACAGGTAAGGGAATCGTCCATATTTCTACATCATTTATGCTTTGAACTGTACATCCAGTAATCTGACTTTAACCTATATTATGTGGGGGGGGGGTTGTTTTTTTTTCTGAAGCATATGACAAAGATGAACATATCTATATAGTCTGTAGTGGTGGCTGCAAAATGACTGCATTAATGCAGAAGTTGCAAAAGTTCTCCCTTTTATTCTATACATATTTCCTCAGGTTGTTTTCTTTTTTTTTTTATATTTCTCAGCCTTTAGTGCGTTTGGCTACCATTACGGCTTCTTTATTTGACTAGTCGGCTTTTCTAATTGCTCAGCAGTAGAATCCACTCTGAGCTACTTCAGCACTTTTCCTGAAGGCTGTTGAAATATTTAAGCCTGAATCTAAAGCAGGTGACAGATTGCTTGTCACAGACTGTCACAACCAAGGTTGACACAAAGCATTTTGGATAGCTTCATTTCATGCTTCTCTTGCCACCGCTGTAATGTACTTTTCAAGAGTAACATTTGCAGCTTTCAAAATGCACAATTTAAAAAAAAAATTGGTTCATTTTAGTCTAATGCCATATTTCTCAGTAATTTCAGTTTTTTGGGCTCCATTTTCCTCTTGTTTATAAGTGGGTTAAAGTAAAATTTTAACCATATCTGAAAGTTTAAAGGCAACCCACCATTTCTACCAATTGCAAGAGTTTATAGTGTGTATGCAAAATAAAAATTTCAATGAAATTAACGTTTCCGTTTGTAAAGTGCAGCAGTGATGAAAAAGTAAACAGTGTAGGAGAGACATGGTGCAAAAGCCATTGATGTGGGTGGTTCAAATAAATAAATACTATGCAAAATGCAGTAGAACACTACATTAAACTCTTTTTTTAAAGGAATTTGAAAATTTGTAATGTAATGCAAATAAGATCGATGCATAGTTTGTAGGTTCGCAAGACAAAGTTAGATGATGCAGTATTTAGGTGCCAGTGTGTGCTTTTGTAATTACTATATGGTTAGGCTTTTCTTGGGCCTTTAAAGAGGCTACAATAGGAATCAAGAGAGCCTTGCTTCATTTCTCACTGCCCTCAAAATGTCATCCTGAGAGAACGGTCTCAATCTTTCTACCTTTGAGACATCCAGCATTTCCAAGCAGGCGGGCAAAAGGTGATTAATGATAGTGCCATAGCAGTCGAAGCAGCATTTATGATTTTTAAGAAGAAATAATCCTTCAGCCGTCTGTCTCGGTGGGTTTTCTCCCACACTCTGACCGTGGAAGGTAATGCTTCTCTCTATGTAGCTTTTTGATAAACTGTCTAGGATATAGAATGACATTGCTGGAACGATAGACTCCAGTAGTACTAAGTAGAAGAGAAAATAGATGGATAAACACTTTAAATTCAGAATGTAGAGTTATGCTACGAGGCGTCATAGGTAGTGAGGTTTTCATTGTTTTTAGTGGATGTAGAGACTTAATCATTGGAAGGAAATGTTGGAGACTAAAATGTTTTATGACAGGTTATTTGTCTGTTTGGAAGGATTGCTTTTCTCTAAGTTTTGGATTTACCTCTGACTGATGTTTTCCATTTTTACACATTTTCTCAAGGCTAAACTCTTATCAGTTTCCGTCTGTCTGCTGACAGTGCCTATCTTCCTGCGAAACAAAGCAAGCCTTACAAATAGTTTGTTTGTCCTCACGAAAAACTTTTCATGCTATCAAAAAACAATGCTTAAGGATCTGAAATTAGTCACTGTATCAGCCCATAGAACCAAGACTTTTGCTCAATGACTTGAATACAATCAGGTTTATACACATTTGATAAATTTGCTGGTTTCACTTAGGATCAATATCACCTACTGGTTTTATTGTTTCTAACTCCTGCAGGCAAAACTCTGTTGTTTGTCTAATTTTCTCACTTAATCATTTCTGCAAGCCTTTTAGGGTTCAGTTGTTTAGGAAATAGTCATCCGTTTATTTCTATTATACTTTCATCTAAAAAGCAGGGAAAACTTTGAAACTGCAAATGTTCCGACAAAGCTCCACAAAAACGGCAAGCTATTAGTGAAGCTGAGTCTTTCAAACTGCACCACAAGCACCCAGTAAAACACAGGGTAAGGGTTTGTGAATAAAGTTCTTTTAATAATATGAAGCTTTTGCTGCAGGGGGGTTGTTCTAGAGAGGCTATAAGAAGCAATACCTAGAGAAAGACCCCTTTAACCCCAGAATGTTCCCTGTTAGCTACTCTTTATGGCTCCCTAAGTAATTGGTTAAACACAATGACAAATTTACAAACTCTAGACTACAAAGGAATATTTCAGTTTATGCTATATCTTTTATCTAAGTACATTTACTAAATATTTGCTAACAAAATAGCTTCTTTTACATATTTTATGACATTGATGTTAAAAAGGTACCTTCTCACTACTGTTGCCACATGCTTGGTCTGTATGAGGGATTCAAGAAAAGTTAACTTAATGCAATGAACAGGCCAATGCCCTTAGGAAAGGCAAAGTATATGTGATGCAATTTGTCGTCCTTTCTTAATAACAACAGCTTCTTAACAACTGACATTTTACACTAGCTTTTCTCTATGATATATTATAAAATGATTGAATTAGATTTAACAAAATGTATTTCTAAACCTATTTTAAAACCACTGTTGTGCAATTTTACCATTAGATTATGAATTGTTGTCGGAAAATTTTGATTTCCCTTCTATTATATATTAATGCATCCTATTTACTCACTATAAAAGTTTTCACTCAGTCTGTTTCACCTTGAAGGCCACATCATTCTTTGCAGGATGGTGTTTGTAGACCAGACATAGCTTTTTCCCCATAACAAATCAGATTCTTTCTTCAGGTTTATTCATAACATGTTACTGTTTAACCAAAGTGTCTGTAATTTGTTTTGACTGACTACTTTTCCATTGTTGTAAGTAAGGGGGAACGAACGCTGCTCATGCAGAACAGGGCAGAATGTCTTGCCATTAAAGCTGTATGATGAACTGTTCTCTCTTTGCAAAGATATTAATAAATGTGCCGACTGACTGAAATCCATCAATCTCCTTTTATTTAACTAGGGTGAATAGTTGAATACTTTTTTCCCACAACAGAATATATTGAATAACTAGAACTGGGAGTTATAGTTAATTCAAATCAAGGGTAAAACCAACTAATGGTTACTAGTTCAATAATAACTGAAATTGTTAAAATCCAGTAGTCTTTCACTAATCTAGTAATTTAGACTATAGTTATCAACAGTTATTAATCACCTGTAAGAGATATTACTCTTGCAGTACCTGCAGTTATATTAACAGTTTTTGTTTTTTTTGTTTTTTTTACTTCCTCCTTATTGGATCATCTTTAAAAATCTAACTCTGGGGTTAGGAGAAATTCATCTCTGTCACAGTAGGCCATGGATTGCTTTTTGATAAATACATAAACACATTTTTTATATGATACAAGTTTCAATCTTGTATTCGTCGTTGGTAGCTGAAGAAAAGCCCAGTTTCTTTATTGAAACCTGTGGTTCCGGTTGGATCTTTCAATTTGATGCCAATCAGAGTTGCTATTGAAAAAAAAAAATGTATCCCATCATAAAATCCTCTACAGGTAATGTAAACCAAGATATTTTTTTCCAGCTGATCAACAACAGACCTGCCTCATAGCTATTCACTGGGATATATTGTCAGATTATATTTGATAATAATGGACACGGCTGAAATTGTAATGAGCTCCCATACTGTTATAAAAGATATTCATATTTATAATATGGGTTCTTTTTCTTTTTTTCATTTCATGAAAGGTGCAGCGTTTGATGTCTTAGATTAAAGAAGGCTATAAAAAGCAGTAGTGAAGAACATCGCATCTACCCAGGAGCTGCAACTTTGGTCTGTATAGACTGTCACTGTAGCTAATGAGCTGGGACTGAAGCTGTTGACCTGCTTTTCTTATTTTAAATTGGCATACGATGAAGTGTGTTTAGCTGCAAGACAACTGTGATTCTGGAGTGTTTTTTTCTTTTCTTTTTTTCTTTTTTGGTGCCAGTATGGAAATAATCAGTGTAGCAGAAAAGCAGAAATAATAGTGTTTCTTTCTTGGTTTATAAAGCCTTTGCGTTGTTGATGCGTCTGATAATCTGGCATTTCTTTAGCTTTAAAAAAAAATTCTTAAATCATTACTTTGGGAAATTATATGCAGTCAGCCAGATTTTTTAGCCATATATTTTCCCTTTCCTGCCCTTCTTATGACCTGATATTACCATGCATGCAGAGTGATTTAGATCGAAAGGGAGAGGTAAGAACTTGTTCACACCTGGGCATGAAATCTGACCTGACTGATCTGTTATATTTTCTGCTTTACATGGAAATAAACACATAGTCCCATCAGATAAATCCACTATGTAAAGTCTAATAGGCTATCAGATGGTAAGTAAAAGAGATTTACTCATTACTTGCACTATTCATTATCTGCATGGAAATCGAGACTAATAAATATATGTTAAAAGGGAAGGTTTACTCAGTATTCTGGATTAAGGCAGGGTTTACTCTAAGATTAGTTTTTAATAATGGTGATCATGTGTATTAAACAAAATTATGATTAATTATATACATCACTGCCATTAAAATGTAATTGAAATGCAACAAATGTTAACCATACCTCATTAAATAAAGTATATATTTTTTAAAACTTTGCCTGGACCCACACTACATATATAAGATGTATCTGATTTTCTCCTCCGGCATCTGAAATCTTAGAAATTTTCATGCTAATAGAAACACTCTGCTTCTGTTAAGTTTCTGTAACTCATTGGTTGACATTGGTTTACTTCCTCAAGCCTTTTTTAAAGGTATAGTGGACGATTTTTCGCAAATTTTTAGAAAAGAACCGTCTTTTCCACAAAAAAATGCGCATGCATAACCCTGTACCCGCTCCAGAATGGGAACACCTATTAAACGCTTGAGAGAGCATGACATTTTTTAGGTACAGTTTACTTGTAGTTTGTGATATTGTCTTTG